CATTCTCTGAATTATTTGTTGAGTTTCTTTCGAAGTTACAAGGATCAGCCAAAGTTTGCGTTCTCATCTCATGCTGCGCTTTCACATGATGACGTAAATATGATCGGTTATGTAGACGAGGACCTGACAACTTTCTTGCAAACATTTCAGCGAGAGTTATTTGAAAACAACACTATGCTGATTATTTTCGGGGACCATGGTCATCGGTTCGCTGATCTTCGAAAGACAATCCAAGGTAAACAAGAAGAGAGGTTTCCATTTATGTCAATCTCACTACCGAAATGGTTTCTTAACAAGTACCCAATCCTCCACAAAAATCTCGTTCAAAATTCACGCGTCCTAACATCACCATTTGACGTTTATGCAACATTACGTCACATACTGTCATATCCACAATATCCAAGCGAGATTATAACCGGTCAAAGCTTGTTCAGCCGGATTAACGAGAGAAATCGAACGTGCGGAAGCGCAGGTGTGAAAGATCATTGGTGCCCCTGTCTTGATTTGGAAGCTGTGTCGCTGGAAGAGCCCGCAGTTAAAAGAATCAGCTGAGTTTGTCGTCAGGTACATTAACAATCTGACGTCACAAAGCGACGAACTGTCTCAGCTATGTCAGCGGTTGAAATTGAAGGAAATAAAGAGCGCGTTTCGCGAGATGCCGAAAGAAGCCATGCAGAGATTCGTAGACTCCAAGAAGGGCGCTCACGACGAATGTGACTCCTGTGGTGTGGTGTTGGGTGAAAAATCGATTAACACACTCGCTATGGATACTTTATATCAGTTACAATTCGTTACATCTCCAAACGAGGGATTTTACGAAGCTTCTGTCAGAATGAAGAAGGGTGCTTCCTCACTAGTAGGAGATATCAGCCGAATTGACGCTTACAAGGATCAACCATTTTGCGTTGCTTCTTCTTACCTCCGTCTAAGAAAATACTGCTATTGTTCTCCAGAAGAGAAAGGAGCCATTAAGAACGCTAGGTAAACACAAGCAAACCACTCGAAATTGCAAATTTGTAAGTGTTGGAAATTGGGAGGAATCGAGTCACCGTAACTCATTTTTTTTTCTTCTATTGACATTAACCATGTTGTCTAAAGCAGGAAGGTGGCGAGAAGGAAGGGAAATAGAACGAGTGAGAACAATAGAGCGAGAAGATATCATTTGATTTCACATCAAATTCGCAGATCTGAAATTGTTTATTGTTATTCTTCAGTGTGAAAGTAAATTAGACCAAATCAGCCTTGACATGATCCTTGTCATAAATATTAATAGTTTCGAACAAAAGCAGAGAGGGTCTCCTCGTCACGCAAGCAGAAGACTGCATATGATTTCTCAATGCAACCATAACCGTCCAATGTTATTAGTGATGACAATAGTTGATGCATAGAATCCCTCCCTCCCTCCCTCACTCCCTCCCTTCC